GAGAGAGAGAGAGAAAGAGAGAGAGAGAGAGAGAGAGAGAGAGAGAGAGAGGGAGAAATTGCCCATTGCCCAGGCTGGAGTGCAGTGCCAAGATCATAGTTCACTGTAGCCTTTAACTCCTGGGCTCAATCAATCTTGCTGCCTCAGTCTTGCAAGTAGTTGGGACTACAGGTGCCCGACACCAAGCCCAGATAATTGATTTTTTATTGTAAAGATGGGATCTTGCTCTGTTTCCCAGGTTGTTCTTGAGCTCAGGGCTTTGAGTGATCTTCCTGCCTCAGCCTCCCAAAGTACTGATTTAGGCATGAGCTGCCATACCTGGTCCATTCATATATTTGCTGGTATATTTATGTTTATGGAGGTCACAAGATTCTCAGTTGTTAATTACAGCATTCAAGAATGATTTCTCTTCTAAAGAAGGATCCTAAGTCTTTCAAACTTTTTTGAATCCATCCTTAAAAAATACCTTTTCCATCAGGATTCAGTACACATGAACAGATATATTACTGGAACAAGAGTTTCAAAAAACAAAACTTGACGGTAATATATGTGATGCATTCTTAATATAGTGGTTCTCAAAACAGTCTGGGACCAGAAGCTCAACATCACCTGAGAACTTATTAGAAATGCAGAGTCTTGGGCTCAACCCCAGATAAGCTGCATCAGTTGTTCTGCGAGCTTTACCAAGCCTTCTAAGTGATTCCGATACATGCTGAGGTTGGAGAACTACTACATATTATAGTATAGACTATTATTCTAATCCATTAATTAAAAAGCCCAGCTGTCAATTATAAGCCACTACATTTGGGGTTAGCTTAAAGCCACCTAAAACACCTCTGAGGTCCTGCTTTTTCTAGCCTCCCTTTCCAAACTCATCTCAGACCATCTGCGCTTTGCAATCTTGCTCTAGCCAGCTTCAGCCAGACTCACTGCTTTTCTGGTTCTTAAGCCTTCAGCCCTCCCTGCTCCTGAATCTCTGCCTGTGGTGCCGTCTGGAGAACTCTTCTCCCAGCTGTTGGGTGGGTGGCTCTTGCTCAGTGAGGAGTCTTAGCTCAGATGCTTTCCTTCCGAGAGACTGCCCTGGCTGAATTGGCCTCAGCTGGCGTATTTTATTTTCATCATAGCTCTTAGCACCATTGATAATTTTCTGCCTCCAGTTGAATCTCATTTGCATAGAACGATGCCTGGCATATAGCACGTACTCAGTAAATACAATCACACACCACTCAATGATGAATCACATATATGACAGTGGTCCCATATGATTATAATACCATATTTTTACTGTCCTTTTTCCAAGGTAGATTCATTTAGATACATAAGTATTTACCATTGTGTTACAATTGACTATTCATCACAGTAACTTGCTGTACAGGTTTGTAGCCTAAGAACAATACGCTACATCATAAAGCCTAGCTGTGTAGTAGGCTGTACCATCTAAGTTTGGGTAAGTATACTCTGTGATGCATTTCTCAGAATGGATCTTCGTCATTAAGTGATGCATGACATGACTATATTGTCAAAGGAAAAAAATGAATCAATGAGTAATTTTCAACTCAGGGCTACCCAGGAATAGTCCCCTGATAAGTATTTTCAATCCACAAATCCTTGGTGACCCTCCTGGTGACATGGCCTTTCCTCCCTCCAGGGAGAAACCCTGCCACTGGGGGGTTTTTCTTCCCTCTAGAAGACAGAAAAAAAGTATATTGAGAATTCCTTCTCCTGGATGTTTCTTACCTTTCTAGTCCTTCACCATTCCCTGTGAGCAATATTTAAATCAGGGAGATCTGGAGTAAATAGCACCAGACTTGAAGTTAGGGCAGCTGGGTTCAAGGAGGGGGGTTCAACTGCAGCCCGGCTGTTTGGCCTTAGGTAACTTACTAAGTGCCTTTAGACCCAGTACAGTAGGGGTCATAAAACCTGCTCAGGCTCCCTTATCGAGTTATCTAGGATCTCATAGGATAGAGCTTCTGAAAATGCCGTGCATTACAAAGAGTGCACCAACTTAACACCTAAAGTATTGACCTGTAGACCACATTCACAGCAGAGGGGCACAACTTTCCTGATATGCTTTGGGTGTTTGTCCCCTCCAAATTTCATGTTGAAATGTGATCCCCAATGTTGGAAGTGGGTCCTTGTGCCAGGTGTTTGGGTCTTGTGGGCAGATCCATCATGAATGGTTCGGTACCCCAATGAGTTCTCACTGTTAGTTCACGGGAGAGCTGGTTGTTTAAAAGAGCCTGGCGCCCTTCCTCTCTCACCATGTGATGCCAGCCCCCCTTTCCCTTCTGCCATGAGTGGAAACTTCCTGAGGCCTTACCAGGAGCAGATGCCAGTGCCATGTTTCTTGTACAGCCTGCAGAACCATGAGCCAAATAAACCCCTTCTTTATAAATTACCCAGCTTCGGATATTCCTTTCTATCAATGCAAATGGACTAATACACCTCCCAAGGAATTTGAGAGAGCTTGGCATGCAAGTCCACAATAGAGCAGGCAATCATGAAAATACCTGCATGACTTTTAAAAGGGGCCCCTGGGGCCACAGGGTATAAAAGACGGCTTTTGGTGACTTGCATAAGGATTTGAATATTGTTTGCAAGTCATTGAAGGCAGGTGGGCATGCATCATGATCCATAATACTCTTGTGCTCCTTCCTCCAGCCTTCCTTGGCCTCTTCACCTGCATGGCCTCCTTGCTGGAACCCAGCCTGGAAAAATTGTGTGTTGAGCTCCTCCTGGGGGGCTCTCATGGCTGTCAGCTTCCAGAGGCATGTATGGGGGTGAATGTGGGCCTGAAGAGATCCTGGAACATCATACTGTCTGATGGATGGCAGGCCTTCAGCGTCACTGAGCTTTCACACCTGAAAACTATTAAAGGTTATTCTTCTTTTAATTCTTTGTGGTCGTTCGCACTCCTTCCTTAGAGAAACCTCTGATTTTCACTTGCGAGACGCTCAGCTGAGCTTGTCATACCCTAAAAGGTGATTTCAGTTCTCCGATGCCAAAGAACCTCTTCCACTAATCAAAACACAGCTGCAGAGGCCTATGTGATCTGCTAATGGGCACCGCAACTCTCCGGTATGTCTGTCTGTACCTGGGAAAATAGATATAATTAGGATAACAGATATCATATGTATATGCAAATGCAGCAGGTAAAAATGACTAGAAATGAGACAGGGCTGGAGTTTGCCAAATCCCAACAGATCAGCTCTGCAGCTTAACCAGATGCTAACCCCATCACCACCAGCCTTCCCCAGTACTAGCTCTGGTGCCCTAGCTTCATCTTCTTTTTGCCAACATGCTGGAACCCTCATGCAAATTATTTTTAATTTTATTTTTTTGGAGATAGGGTGTCAGTCTGTTGCCCAGACTGAAGTGCAGTGGCACAATCATGGTTCACTGCAGCCTCTACCTCCTTGGTTCAAGTGATCCTCCCACCTCAGCCTCCTGAGTAGCTGGGACTATAGGCCTGCACCACCATGCTCAGCTAATCTTTGAATTTTTTTGTAGAGACGATATCTTGCTGTGTTGCCCAGGCTGGTCTCGAACCCCTGGCCTCAAGCAATGCTCGCACCTCAGCCTCTCAAACTGCTGGGATTACAGCTGTGAGCCACCACGCCCAGCCTATTTTTAAGTTTTACTGTAACAATAGGTCCCCTCCTGAAGAGACTCTTTCAAGAGCTTCAGATCTTAGGAAGCTGCAGGGGTCCTAGCATCTGAGAAGCTAGTGGGAGAAAGATGGAGAAGAGAGAGGGCCTCTTCGGTGTTTTTCCTTTAATGAGGGTTTGGTCCCCACAATGGCAGCATCAGGACTGGAGAAGACCCGGTGCATCATTACCAAGCTCGAGTTGCCTTTTTTAAAAGAGAACTATCCCATAAAGATGGCCTGTAAGCTTCTTGTTTGGAGTCAGAGGCTCAGTCTAAAGTTCTACTTCTGCCTTTTCCTGGTGGTGTGCACTTAGGCAAGGGACTCACCTCTCTGCTTCTTGTGTTCTTCACCCTAAAATGGGCATGATAACAGCAGCTGCCTCAAAGGGCCTGGCAAAATGTAAGCTCTCAGATGACGTTTTCCTTCATAATAGGTACGTGGGCAGGTGAAGAGAGTCAAACATCAGGCCCAGGGTTCTCACTCCACTGTATCACTCCATCTACCTACCCATGGATAAATCACTTCACCTCTCTGAGCCTCAGTTTCTTCATCCATGAAGTGGGCTAATAATGGATGGATGTCATAGTGCTGTGTAACAGTAAACAACAATAGGCCACTAAACAGAAGCTAGTGATGCATGTGGAGTGAAGATGCCTACATTTGGGGGCAGTGCGAAGTCTGATAAGATTGAAGAGCATCTCATTTGTGATGCTCTGTGTCTGATATGGGGTAAGGATGTCCTTACCCCTAGCTGGTCTATCAAAAAGGGCTGCAAAACTATGCAGGCAGACGACCTGGGTACTGCCTTTACCAAGCTGCACAGCCACTGAACAAGGACATCTAACTCCACCAAACTAGGAGAGCCTGCACGTGCAGATCCATCTCTGTTGTTGGGATTGGGGCCCATGCCTTATTCCATTCTGTAAGCTCTCCCTGTGCTTGACACAGTGCCTAGTGTATTATAGATGTGCAATAAATACATACTGATTGATGGACGAATAAATGAAATCATCTGCATCCATGAATTAATAGATGGTCGATTACATTGTCAATTTTCTACCCTGTGGGTAGAGCAGAAAAAGCAGTCAGAATCTTGGTCCTTTTGCTAATGGTGGAAAAGGGCTATACTTGCAGAGTGTGTGCCGTCAGAGCCATGTTCAAATCTCAGTATTGCTATATCTTAGCAGTGAATTTGTTCAAACTTCAGTTTGGAAAAACATGCGGACCTTCAGTTTCCTCATCTGTAAAATGAGGATAAAAATGTCACTTTTGTTGTAAGATTATGGTGTAGATGCTGTAAATTTGTACATGTCAGGACCCGACATGCTACTAAGTGGAAAGCGGGAGAATGAGAGTGAATCCCCTTCTTTCCCTCTTCACTACGCAGGTCCAAGGATATTGTTTTTTACCCAGCCAAGTCCTAAGCGCCAGAAGTGGATCTGATCTTTTACCTAACTCTAGCATTGATGTTTTTTATTCTGTTGAAGGCATCAATATTTGTTCAATAGTGTAAGTCTTAAATAAGCATCTAAATGACATATTACAGATGATGAAAGTCATTTCCACGCAGAAGATTATCTCACACGATCATGTTTCCTTCGTTATCTGGGGCCTCTGTAGTTGGCAAATCTCTGCAGCTACTTAAATGATAACATTAGTCCTAATGCCATGTAAAATGACTAGTTCCTCAGGGTAGGTTTATTTTTAATAGTGTATGTCAGCAGCAAATAGCTTGGAAGACCCCAGAGGAAAAAGCACAGCTCAGGCTCTCACTGAAGTAATGATATAGATATATTTAATATCTATATTAAAAACCTTTTAGGCACCATGGTGATATTGAACTGGATAGTTAGGCGAGCGTAGGGAAAATGCTGGGCTGTTTATAGAGTGTGATGCAGTGTGTATTCTAGAAATCTTTTGAGGTTCTTCAAAGTCAAATTTGGGCCTCAAAAATCTTTGACAGACATTTGACCCCAGTAGTAAAATACTCGGAAACACAAGCTGGGAGAATAAAACCACTTCCTTTTTTCTTTTTTGGTAAGCCTGCTGATAAGTTTGCTGTGCTATTAAAATGTTTAATCACTTGCCTCCAGCAAGAGCAGGCTTCTGTCTGAAGCTGCAGTTTATTAGAGTGCCCAGATCATACTTGCTATTTACCCAAAACATGGCCAGGGGATTCTTACAGAGAAAACAAACCACAATTTGAAATCAAGCATAGAGTGGCAGATGAATGGATTGAAGGCAAAAATTATTTTGGAGTTGATTTCAGGGGAGAGATGATAAAACCTGCACTGATTTTCTGTCCCAAAGGCACAGGGTTAGATTCACAGCGGCCGCAGGTCTGGCCTGTAAGATATCCCAGGGTCAGTTGGTAAAAGTGCTGCCAGGCCTGTCCCAGGGAGGTCTCCGGAGAAGAGGCAGCCGAGGAAGGGGCTACTCTAGGAACATGCTTTCCAAGAAGAGGCATTTCTCTCTGCTTTAGAGTTTGGTCAGAGAAGCTCATCCTGGAAGGGCAATGAACAGACAGATTTCATTTAGCATTTCAGCAGAATGCTAAGCCCAAACCCCCCTCCCTCCTTCTCTTCTATGGACCTCACTCTGGCCTTTCCAACTCATTTCAAGGCAAACTGAACTGTGGGGCAGGAAAATGCCTTTAAGACGGTGAGCATCATTTAGTTACGGTACCTGAAGCCCTCCCGCTGGTGGCGCAACACCATGGACCTAGCCCTTGGAGTGGAGGGCCCCTCAGAGAGCCATGGATAATTAACTCCTTCCAGAAACTGGTATCCAGGACTATGCCTTGGAGGGCAGCCTACCATCAGGTCACAAATTTCTAAAAACAGATATGTAAAGATCTAAGGAATTTCCTGTTTATCATCCTGTCTTTGCCTATACAAAATTCTTTTTAAATCTGGATGATTGTATCCCAAACTGGGTTATAAAGAATAACAGATATTCTGGCAGAAAAGAATACTACGGCTTAATAAATTTGGGAACTACTGCATCTCTTGAATCACCAGGTACGATGGCATATTAACGACTCTCCTGTGTCCTGAACTGAAAAACTAGCAAACAAAACTGGTTTCACTCTGTTTCCCCCAGTGTTTCTCCAAATTGTTCAGCTATGAACTGTTTTCTTCACAGAACATCCATCACCATCTTACCTTTTTGGAAGGCAGTTGAAGAATTGTTGTGTTATGATAGGCAGAATTCTAAAAACGCCCTTGTTCCCCCCAAGATTTTCCTCTTCTGTTCATTCAATTGAACATTAACACAAATGCTGCTGAGAGGGAATTTTGCAGATGCAAGAAAAGCCCTAAGTAAATCGACTTTAAAATATGGAGAGTATCGGGGCAAACGTGACCAAATCGGGTGACCTCTTAATTAAAAGGGTGAGGATTTGATGTTCCTTCTGTGGCTTTGAAGATGGAAGGAACCCAATGAGAAAGAATATGGGCAGCCTAGAGGCAGAGACTAACCCCAATCCCCAGCTGACAGCGACAAAATGGGGACGTCGGACCCGACGCCACAGGAACCGGATTCTGTCAACAATCATAAAAAATTGGAAGTAGAATCTTTCCCAAAGCCCCCAGATAAGAATCCAGTTGGCTGACACCTTGATGTTGGCCTTGTGAGACTCTGAGTGGAGTCCAGGTGAGCCTACCTGTACTTCTGACCTACAGAATTGTGGGATATTAAATGGGTGTCATTTTAAGTTGCTAAATTTGTAGTAATTCATTTCACAACAACAGAAAACTGCTACATACTGATTCAGAGAAATCAAAAACAGAAGTGGTATCCTTTACATTCGCAAGGTGATTCAAATGTAACACTCATATAGGGACAGAGCAGGTGTCTCTGTTTTTGCAGGTGAGGATATAGACTCAGGGAGATTAAGTTACTTGCGCAGGACACTCAGCCAGGAAATGAGGAAAAGGGGACTTGAATGAGCTTTTATGTGTGTGTGAGTTAGGATGGAGTGGGGGTGCGTTTCCTTTACTGTCTTTTACATTCAAATAGGAAAAGGCATTTGGAGAGATTGCAATTGGGAACTTGCAAAGGAGGATGGAAAAAAAAATTCAGGGAAGAACACATCAAGCAACGGGTTCAACTGCTTCATCAGAGAGGTCCTTTCTTTCATCTCTTGTGTCTGAGCAGAAAAGCTTGCTAGATAAAGGACCCACAGCTGTGAGCCAGTGACAATGTGTGGGGCCAGGGTCTGATGAGGCCACCGGAAATGGGCTGCTGGGATGCTTTATACGTACAACTAAGGGTGAAGACATGCAGGCCTGTAATATCAAGAGAAACAATGTCTGCAGGCTGACCTCCCAGATGGGTGGTTTGCAGAGGTGGGGCTGCCTGCATAATTAATCAGCCCTGGCTTCTTCGCCACAACTGGCATTCCTACCTGTACCCGCAGCCCTTAAGGGGCCCCTCACTCAGTGTTAGGGAGCAGACAAGTCATCTGGGAACATCCCCCCCCCCCGACAACCTCCATGGACAGAAGTGGAGACTGAAGCCCAGAAAAGGAACAGGACTTCTCAAGGTCACAGTCAAGGATCCCCTAACATAGGACAACTCTCTTGGTTAGCGATGACTTCCTGATGAGCCAGTATTCCTTACTGAGCAAATGTAGCATGTGTGTGCCTGTGTGTGTGTGTCTTTTGTGTCCACTATGAGAGTCAGAACTGTGTGTTACCATTGCCCTAATAATAATAGAAGCCAATACCCACAGAGTACAGATCCAGTTCTTGATGCTGTCTTGAAAGTGCTGCATATTAA